GTTTGCTTGTGAGTGGTAGGTGGTCGTTCGGAAACGTGTGATTCCTAAAAGTGGTCAGACGACGGAAGAGTATGGATTCGAACTGACGTCCGCGGTCTGTAGTGATGGTTGAAAGGCGGCCGAAGTTTTCTACCCATCGTCCGACGAAGGCGCGGGCCACTGTTTCAGCAGGGATGTCCTTGATGGGTACTGCTTCTGGCCATCGAATGAAACGGTCCACGCAAGTTAAAAGAAAAGAGTATCTATTTGAATCTGGTAAAGGTCCTACCAAATCCAGATGAGCATGTTCGAAACGAGTTTTGAAAGATCATAAGGGACATTTATTGTGTCTGATAACCTTAGATTTTTGGCAGCTTACACAGGAGCGTGCCCACTTCCTCACGTCTTTATTCATGCCAGGCCAGTGAAACCGTTCTGCTATAAGTTTGATGGTTGCACGAACACCTGGATGGGAAAGTTTATGCAACGTATTGAAGACATTGAGTCGATAATGTTTCGGCACGATTGGGCGATCCCTACCCGTAGATGTGTCACACAGTAGGGTTTTCTTACCTGCTCCCATCTGTTTGATGTGTAGCTTGATGGTTGTAGACGATAACTCGTGCTGAAGATCAGTGTCTTCCTGCAAGGAAGTTATTCGGTCAAGGCGTCTGCAACTACTTTGTTTGCTCCAAAAATGTGTTGGATGAGTAGCTATTTATTATTTACGGAGTTGTTTACCTATTGTTGTAAGACTCCTCCGATTGCTGAGTCGGATGCATCTACTGCGATACTAATGGGTGCTTCAGTGTCCTAATGAGCAAGCATTGTTGCCTGAACGATAAGTTCCTTAACCGTGGAGAATGCTTTTCGCGCGGTGTCGTCCAAATTGATGGATTTCGCATTTCCACGAAGTTGGTCTGTAAGAGGTTTCATAAGTAACGCGCATTTCGGTATGAATTATCTATAGAAACTTACCAGGCCGTTAAACGTGCGTAATTGCTTGATGGTGGTCGGTTCTGGGTAATCCAGAATGGTCGCTACTTTGGTTCTAAGGGTCGAACGCCTTGCGCATCTATAGTGTGTCCTAGGAAGTCTAAGGAGTCCGTTCCGATTTGGCATTTCTGAATGTTTACAGTAATGCCATGTTTTCGTAGTCGCTCAAAAACAAGATCCGGTTGCTGGAGATACGATTCTCTGTCCGGAATCTCTATTAGACAGTCGTCAACATACGCATGTACGAAGTTGAGACCTCGAAAAGCGTCGTCTTTGAACCTTTGAAGTGTTTGGGCAGCGTTTCTTAGACCGAAGGACATTCGCAAAGATTTGTGGAGTTCAAAGGGAGTTATGGTAGCTGTTTTCGGTATATCGTCTGTAGCCATAGGGATCTGGTTATACGCTTTAACCAAGTCGATTTTCGAAAAGACAGTTGTACCTTTCAAGGTAGCTGTCAAATCGTGAATGTGAGGCAACGGGTAACGATCGGGAATGGTTTCCGCATTCAGTCGCCGATAGTCACCAGTTGGACGCCAATCGTTGCTGTCATTTTTAGGGACCATGTGCAACGGAGATGCTCATGGGCTGTTTGACGGTCTTATGATACCTAAGTCTATCATGTGGTTGGATTCGTTTTTGGTTTTCGGGAGCCAGTCGGTCTACTTTCGAGAATACAGTTGGCCCTATAGTCGTAACGTAATGTGTAACGTTGCTGGTTACACACGGCAATTTCGGTTGCGATTGCTGTATCCTAGGATACTTATCGAGTAGTGGTTGATAAAATGGGTCTATTATGTGCCCAATTATGACTGGAGATAATCTGCAACCAGAAAATAAGTTACGCAAACAGATAAATTAGTGTTTCCGTCCACTAGCCTCCGTTTGCGCGTATCGATGATTAGATTATGGTATTGTAGAAGGTCCATACCAATGATTGGCATAGAAACATCTGCAACAACGAAGATCCAGTGAATGGGTTTGTGTGAACCCGCGTTCAGATAAACGTACCTTTGTCTGTATGTGGCGATAGGTTTTCCGTTTGCCACATGTAGATTTAAAAGTGGTTCGTGAAGTCGGTCGTTAGAATTCACTGGAAGAACGTTAACTTCTGCGAGGTAGCGTCATCATATCGCCAGCTACGGTCACCGTGAACGCGTGCTGGCTTGGAAGTTTCCCGAGTTGTTTTTCGAGTCAGTTGGTTTGGATTTGAGAAAATTGCAATGTTTTCTGCAATTTCTGGAAGACTTTCCATACTTGTTATGATACCAGCATCAGTCGGGGTTATCCGTCTCTCTTGGTTTAAAGACAGATCGCCTACGTGAAGTGCTTCTTCACGGTGTGTGTGACAGTTTACAGTCTTTACGAAATTTACGATAACGTGTAAGGGTATGACATAATTCTGTTATGTCATTCTAAGTCGTTTGAGGCTTTTCATTGACTGAAAAACCTCAGTATTAGAAGATTTCGTGATTTCTAAGATGAGTTCGGCAGGTTCAGCCAGCATGTTTATGGCGTTGTTTTGAGACGAGACCAGTATAGCTTGCATCTGTTGAGGAAGTTTGGGTAAGAAAAGTTGTTTGAATAGGCCACCATCGAAGGTTCTTTGGCTGATGACCAGTTAGGTCTCCGTGTTTAAGGATAAGCCGTTGAAGTGTTTGGCAGCGCTCCAGGGGTATCGCGACACTTTTTTGCGCTACTTTTTCATTTCTGCTTTGTGCACAACCAAATTTGGAAATACATAATGAATAAATTTGAAAGTCTATTTTCCGTTTTCATAATTAGGTAAAAAGGGGTTTTTCGATTTTGCGTTACATGGTATCGTGAAGTCCTTGAAAATTCATTATTCAGGTGCTGCTATAATAGTTTTCCGATGTTTGCTTCGCAGATTAGCAATTATTTCTACTTAGGTATACACTGATGGTCGACAAATCTTTTATTTTTATATGAAATAGGAAGATTCAGGCATATATCGTCATAAAAATTGTATTGTCGTCAAGGCTACGAAAACTGCGTTACAACTAACGATACCATGGTAAGATTTATCGTTTTTCCTATCTTTATCACAATTTCTGCTGATTTTCACTGTTTTGTTCGACTTTTATGGCAGAAATAGGTTTATAGTGAAAACATAAGGTGTCCTGAGTGTTGTAAATATTATGTATATGCTATAGATGATAATAACACATATTAAGATGTTAATATCACCTTCTACAGTTAGATATATTAGCCACCAGATGATTGTATTGCAGGAAATAAATCATAATCATGCGGTAGAGGTATAATTATGTGGAGATTCTACCAAAGACGAAGCTAAGATAGCATTACTACCTCTTGTGTAGATGTACACAAGTATTTGGCTGTACCAAAGCATGTCATTGAGATATGGTTGTGACTTTTTTCTTTTTTTAAATTCTGAATTCACGGGACGACTACCTCAATTCTCAATAGCCGTGCAATTGTTTTGATGTTCTACCTACATTTCAATAAATATTTTTCAAACAGCTTACTTTTTTACTTACATGGGAAACTGTAGAAGTGTTGAGAATGTGTGTTTGAGTGTCAGTGAACTTTTGAATAAATGCACATTCCTTATAAATAATACATCACGTGTTTCTTCTTTTGCAGATAATTTCAAATAACAATGAATTAGCAATTGCATTGGATATGCAAAACAATCGATGCTTAAGCTTCTCCTCTAGTGTTGTACAATAATACGCTTCACCTTTTAAATAAAACTTTTCAAAAACATGCCGGTCTTTCACTGTATTGCAGATTTATTTTGGTCTGTTGTTGAAAATAAAGGTGAACATAGTAGACCTTTGGGGTTATGTTAATGGATGGAGAATAGGGAGTTCTGTGTGTATTTATGCGAAAAGTAAACAATTCAGCAGACATTTAGGCGAAAAGTAAACAATTCTGCGGACAGTTAGGCGAAAATTCGGTAATTTGGGGGATATTTAGGCGAAAAGTGAGTAATTTATCGACAAAACGGCGAAAAAGGGGGAAATCCACATTATTTCCTCTGGACAGGCGAAAAATGCGACATTCTGATGTGTTTTCCCCTTTCGCTACCAAAGCATTTACCCCTTTATTTTCCCTTTTTGGGTTGTCTGGGGAGCTACAATGTTTTGGCTGCCGGTATTATTGCAAAAATACCTAATATCAGAAATAAGTACTGAAATAAAGCTGTTACGAGAAAGCACTGAAAAGTACGATTCGATAGTCGAGATATCTTGATCTAAGGTGACCAGATTGTGTGAGATCCTATGTGATGATCTTCGGAAATCAACCAAGGCCTGTCTAGCTTACGTGCTGATGCCGTAAATGACAATTACTCATAACTTACGTGGGACTACAATAGAATATGCATCAAGAATTTCAGGTTACACAGGACGATTGAAAGTAAATTCACACAGTAGTCTTTATATATGTTCATCGTCTAAGTTTCTGAAGTGCAACCTGCCCAAAGGATTAAATAATACAATCCGTGTATGTTGTGACCCAGACTTTCCTAAGCAACGCAAGAGATAAAGGAAATAAGCGTGATTGACTATCCAAAGGAAGGGTGTGCTAAATGCACTTTCGATCTGTAATTGGATACTGGTTTCCGTTTTTATACTAGTTTCTGGTAAACATTTATACTGAAATAACTTTCCTGTCTATCTTATTTCCAGCTAGCTTCGCATGCGTTCACAGACCTAACGGGAACAATTCCTGAGAAGTAGAAGTTATTTATTAATGGACCATTTGTGCTAGATTCAAACTTTAATAAACGTTTACATTTATAACGCACCAGTCTCTTAATTACGGCAATTCTTATCTATCGTGACACGTCGAAATCCGAACTACTAGTATGGTACACCATGTTCAAGGTAGCAGTATTTGGTAAACGGTATGTATAACTAATCGCGTGTGCGCCAAACTGGTAATTATTACACAAGAACGCGAAACAACATCCCTGTCTCACAGCCACATAAGACTGCACAGTACACTCCCTGCCGTTACGCTATAAGAATAAGTCAATCGCCATATAAATGAATTTATGTAAAACTAAAAAGATTACAATATTAGAACTTCTTGTTAGCAAGAAGCATAGCTATGGTCTGCATTAACAATGGATTCTGACGTTGTAGCTTCATCATTAGCACCGACTGAACTCATCAACTGTGCACATATGTCTTCCGATGCTTCGAGGCATGAACGGATGAGTTTACTTGCCATAGGTTCACTAAGAGCATGGATTGAGTGGTAGTTGCTAGTGAACTTCTCTAGCAGATCATCACTCCCTGTAGAGATTGAGATGTTGTCCAGCGCACGAAGAACCAGGTCCATTATGTATTTTCTTGTCCACCGGTTGCTATGTCGAAATAAGTCTACAAAACTTATAGAGATAAAGGAACACACATACCTCCGCGAATCAGATCTTTAGAATGTGCATACAAAATATGACCACGTTTATAATTTACACTTACAATTTTAGCTGCAAAAGATGTGAACTCATTTAGAAGAGTTCGAAATGACATTGGAACCTGGAATTAATGATACATTTAACTATATTTCTTACCGGAAGAATAGGAAAACGTTGAAGATCCTTCACAGCGTCATAAGGACGCAAACGTAGATCAATGTCTGTTTTACTCCAAATTTTCCAGAACGTCAATAATAGGGAATTACCTCTTCTGAGACATTCTTTTAGGTGTTTATGAGCACTTTCGACACGGTTGTTTGTGTGGTTGCCCAGGCTTAATACATGTCGCCGGTAACAGCGAGCCCACATTGACTTCCTGGCAATCCAGTAATCTTTTATGTAATCATACGCCCGTGGAAAATGCGTTCTTAGATGTTCGTACTTTCGAGTAAATCTGAATATAATGCGCTATGAAAAGCGAAGCTCACATATCAGACCGTCTAGTCTTCACAAGCTGTTCCAAGCATTTGCGCACATCAGGATTTCGGAACTACAGAAAATAATTTGTACAGCTAACACATACCTTCCTGAAAAACGCTCTTAGGACATGGAATGAACAAAGTATTATGTTAGAATGACTGTGCGTAGACTGCACAGCCGAAATTTCGGTCGCTGCCGAATCCATAATGAACGTGCGTGTAGCATAAGTACCGCACATTATCTCTTTAAAACATTCCAATAGTTTTTCTATATCTTCGCGTCGTTCTTGACTGCAAAGAGCATACATAACAGTGTGCCCTTGCCCAAGACTATCAGTGACCACTAGCTGGAACAGTGGAAAGCTTTCAGATAAATTTATTACTAATCGTCACTTACCCGACTTTATTGGTCTGATAAGTCGAATCAATACATATTACTTCCGGGAACGCGTGGTAAACAGCTATTTGCTCTCTGCGGCTGAAGCAAATCATAGACATGTTCCCATTTTCATAGAATACTTTAACTTCAGTATTACCTTGAATGCGCTGTAAAATGTTATTGATATTTTTAGTGTCTAAACTCAATTAATTACAATGTGAGTTCAACAACCTGGGTACAACTGTGAACGCATTCTGGCGATATCGTCCTTGGTAAGTTGTTTATTGAACTTCAAAGAAACCAGATACCGTAAGCTACGAGTTGGTGTATTACTCAGTAGAAACGTTCTTAAATACAAGCGTTCACTTGAGGTCAACTGTCGTTTCGATGGATCGACAGAAATATATCCTTCTGTGCAAGGATGGTTGTGCACGGTTTTAATAGAGGTGAGTTTCAACTCACCATTCAGTGCCCGGACCCAAAATCCTGATTTACAGTGGCAATATTTCGACCTGAAGGATAAATTCATTTGAAGTAAGGCATACGTAGATGACCGACGTCGTCTCCTTTGCCTAGGTTGTGTTGGCGAGTTAGAAGTTGTATGCTCTTCAGAAGAATGATTATTACTATCATCATCTACATCCTGAACGCAAGCATCTGACTCTGACGAACTGCGTTTACGTCCATATGTACAGACATATCTCACGAAAAAGTACTTTAGAGTTGGATCATCACTGTTCTTTTTGCATACTGACATAACGTACTTAGTATGCGTATACTAAGAAAATAATTATTAACCACAGAGGTCATATTACCTTATGTACTTCTTTCAAACAGGTCTCAAAATTGTCCCAACTTGTAAATCTTCGAGAAAACATAATATCATTGAAGATTCGTCCTATATCATGCATCATCACGATGGAATCGTCTTCGTTACTTGAAGAATGAACGTTATCAGACATAGTGTGGCTGAACTCAACTCAAATCTAAAAATGTCTTGATTTGACCGCTTCTGAAAATTTTCACGAATTGTCGATGTGACGCACCAATCATTTTGCGACAGTTTGACCTTCAAGTGCTCGCAACCCCCATCAGTGGACGATACCCTAGGAGCGTTGCCGAAGTGTTTCGTAAGGTTCCCAAGCCTTGTTTAGGTCATTCTCAGCGTTAGGCTATCAGCCCTTGGTTTCGGTTACCAGATAGTCTTAATTTTACTCTTTTGTTATTGTTGACTTTCGTTGGTTGCTTAGATTGTTAGATATAAGTGCATTCCATGTGTTTGCTATCTGGGTTTATTTTCATTTTATTTACGGTTTTCTCTACTCCTGTTCACGCCCCATCAGCACACGAAATAAATTCAAACTAAACGCGGAGTGCAATGTCATTTCCTCCCTATTTTGCTATCCAGGACTTCGAAGTCCATTTTTTTCGTGACTCAGCTGAGCTGTGTACGACTAAGTTGAATCGAGTTTTTTTTTACTTCTTACTTGACTAGAAGTTTCGATGTAATTGAAGACTGTCAGGCTTTTTTTACTGTTGGAGTGACTTCACTCTCAGTACTGAGAGTGATTACGTCTACATTTGCACATACTTTCTAAAATTTTAGCTGTAATATGCCTCGTTTTAGCAATCCTCTAAAAAATTGCTGTTATTTGTAAAGGCGATTTCGTGGAAAATGTGATTCTTCCATGGGGAGTTTAAAGATATTGGTATGAAGTTTACGGAATTTGCATTCTGTGAATATTTAGTATCATTTTTGTAAGAGCTTTAAATACATGAGGATTCTGACTTTTTGTCTGATTTTCACCAAAATTTGTGCAAATCTGTGATTGTTTTCTTGAAAACCTCCATAAAACTGGTCAATTTTCTTGACAGTAATAAGAATGGTAGCTCAGTATTTTCGTTGGCCATTGCAGTATGTATTTCTCTCCTGATGATATGCACTGAATATAGGATTGCTCCTATATAGGATTCCAGTCTTTGACTGCTCAGTGAAGTGACGGTTACTCAAAATTGGATTTATCCGACCATGTTTTTGATCTTTTTTTGATGGCTTCGGGGATGATAAATTTTAGAGACACTCAAAGGATACAAAATGTCAGTACTCAAGTCATTATTCAAAGTCCACAGCGTTAGTAGGAGATTGTCCCGAGTCCTATAATAATAAGATCGATCTATGTGTAGAGTCGCTCCTCAAATGATATATTAAGGAGTCCTGTATGAATTCCCACACTACTGTCTCAGGTAGCTGTAACTAAAAGTAGATTAGCTATTTATTTGCAGTACTCTTTGTGAATTTTCGCGTAGGTGACATCTGTGGTGTACAACAAAGCTGTACAGGACCAGCCTATGTGACCTTCACGACTTCTTGGTTGGGGTCCGGAAGATAGTGTTACACAGTGGCTTGTAAGGTTAGATATAGGTTGAAATAAATCCAGTGCTAATGATGCTGTAATTTTCTTTTGCTTTTATAAATGTGAGAGGTGCTACTTTAACTGAAAAGATTCTTTCTGATATTTTCTCAATTGAACTGCTCCTCCCATCATTTTTGACTTATTTACCTATTTTTGTCCATTTATTGTTTTTTTCCAAATTATCATCATTCTCCTTTTTCTATCTCCTCACAATCTTATTTTCTTATTATTTGGAGCATATTTAGTTTTTTTGGCTTTCTGCACCAATATTTATGTGCTTAAATAAATAACTAAACGCACATATGTGGAAATAACCTAAAATAAAATCTCACTGTGTTATTTAAAAGCGAGACTTTCTTACATATTATGAATTACTATTAAAACGTTTTTTCCAAAGATTGTAACAGTGGTGTCTTAGTAATAATGTGCTAGTGTTTGATGTCTAAGTCTAAACAAATGACAAATGCCATTCCTTATTCCTTTATGTTCCTCATTATATTTTTGGACTCGTGTGACGTCATTTCTTCCTAACTGAGACATTAACTTGTTTTCATTTGTCCCAAGAGCTATAGTAATGCTCTCAGAATTATAGGATCAATAGTCCAAAGTATTTCCCTAATTTTACGTTAAAACCCCATTATTTACCACGCAATTTTCGATTTTTGTCTGGATTGAGTAGTTTTCTTTGAAAGGGGAAGATTGCAAGTAACGTTTTGCTAAGTTCATTTCCATATCCAAGATGTAATACCTGGATTCAGTGCTAAATGTAACGAATTTCTGTTTTGAGGTTTTGAAATAAAAATAATTCTTTTGACTCTGAAGCTCCAAACCGTATTTGTAACCACAGTGACAGGTTGAAATTAAAATCCGTTGTTAGGGATCCCAAAACCAGCAAATTAGCCCGAATGATAAGTCCACTTTAAATTCAACGAAGCTCATAATCTGTTACAACAAAATCACAACTTTTTGTACAGTATAGTGATCCTTTGCGATAAATTGGAGAGGTAGGACTTTCTTGTTTTTCTTAGTTCTTAATGATTGGACAGTCATTTACCGATAGGCGTTTATGGAATTTCACCATCGAGCTTTTATGATAAATTGAGTAAGGCCAATTGTTATTCTACTTGACATTTTTAAGCTCTAATGCAGGTTTTTGATTTTTATGCTTGTAACTAGTGTGTACGCGATGTGATTCTGAAAGTGAAGATTCATCTCATTATTCTTGCTAGTTTCTCTCAAAGCACTTTTTTATACAATATTGTAGCTTTTGATTTTTAATTTTAAAGATCGATTCCAGTGATATGACTCATCCTGGTTTATCCATCATCAAGTTACCAACTACAGATCTTGTATCAGGTAACAACTCGACAGAAAGTGCGGGAGAAAAAGTCGCTCAGCGTGTCGTGTTATTTCCAAAACAAAGTAACTCAGGAAGCCAACTTATTTGGCGTGGCGCTTGTTTGCAAAGTATTTTGAGTGATGTGCCAAGTCAAAATACTCAGTCCAGTGTTGGACAGCTAGGTAACAACTTTGGAGAAACCTTACAAAGAAAGATAGTCAACATAAACCCGTTTGAAGATAAACCTTTATCTTTGTCATTGACGTCGGTTTGGAATCAAAATCACCAAGATGCTACTAGCGATGGGATTTGTCCCCTGAATTCAAAAAACAAAAACTTGAAGAGACCTAGGAATGAATCCAATCCTAATAATCCTGAGGGTAACAGTGATTCATCTGAAGAAAAATCATCTACAAAAGTCCGAGCAACCAAACCTCGCATTCGGTCACAAACGAAACGTTCAGGTATACTACTGTTAGTGTTAGTAAAATATAAACCTCATCGAATTGTATTTTATTGTTGTTGATTATAGCTTCACTTTAACCAGAAAACATATATCATTGTGGAGAGTAAATTGCTGTATGCTGAGTTGCTATTGGTGTATTATTACAGTGTTGTAGTTACTGAACGATAGTGAAGGGACAAACAGCACGGTAAAGAGTTTAAAATATAAAACCCACAAATTAGTCGAATAGGTTTTAATTATTTTAAAATTGTCACTCACCCACTGTTTAATTAGGCACAATTTTGCGTCATCGATCTCAGTTTCTACATTTTGAACCACTATAATGAGTTAAAAAGTTAGCAAAATAGGAATCATAGGAAGAGAAACGTATTTCAAAAAGAACAAACATTAAAACTTACTCATGAGGAATAAAATAGTTTGATAGGAAAGTACAGATCTTTGTTTACGGTAGTTACATCTAGTATCAAACGATACACAAAAAGCTTATGTAGTAGTTCTATCGTTGTTTGTTTTGGATGTAATATCGTATACTCGTAAACTTGAATTAACAGGTAAATTAGAGTACCACATTAATCAAAGTAGTGGATTAGTGGGTTATTTGTTAAACCATGCGACTCAGTCAATAGTCTACAGGTTTGTACTCCTCCCTACCTACTTTGGTTTGGTCAGACAGGCAGTATCACTTGTGCTGAGCACAAAATCCTGTAATTGGCAAATCAGTCACATTAGTAATTAAATAAGGGAACGTTTACTAATAATATATACGTGTAACTTGAACAGTGAACAGTCTTAGCTAAATTCATCTGTTATTTATTCGGCTTCAAATATTTAAATGATAAGCTCGAACGCTACATTTGGCCTCAAAATAGTTAAACTACTCCTCACGCTGATCGATAAGCATAAATGCGTAATTGGCTATTGGGTGATAACTACCCACATTGACCGAAGTTCAATATTGTTGAGTAGCTATAAAAATGAAACTTAGTAATCATGGTATTCACCATATAAAAATCAGAAGCAAGATTTTAACGAATACGAGTGATAACTCTAACGACAATTCCAATACAGTAAACAACTGCTCTCTTCTAACTTAGCTACTCTAAAAGACAAATTTTGTTAAGATTTGTTGAAAGAAACCAAAGTAAATTATGATTTACATCCAAGTTGGCTCAGTTATATATCAATTAAGTGAGTATTAATTACCGAATCTTTTTAACAGAGTAATTGCCACCGAATACAAAATCTTATTAAAGTAATCAATACAAGAATCAAACAAGTAACTACAACTAGAAGCTAATGAATACAATTCACTCGGAATAGTGTAGTACAACGAAAATGTGTTGAAACTAATTCAGTGCAGATCACCTTAAATCAAAGTGCGAAATGAAGATTGATCTTCCTTATACGTTGTATTTGAGGATATAGCATCCTAAACGCAAGGTATTTAAACTTGAAGTATGGTCGTTGTCACACTTACAGGGTTTATTTCCAGTTGTTTTTCCTATATTTTAAGTAAGGAATGGGGTAATACACAGTCGTCTATGGGAAGATAATTATCCTGAAATCCTGACCCAATATTCCAGTTCAGAAGTTGCACTTATATAGTAACTGGTAATCCATATCAATTATGGTCAAAAGTGTGTAAACAGGGCCATAAGTACTTAAGCTTTTCTTCACTTGAGGCAACAGCTTTAAATAGTATATTGAATAAATTTGTGTACTTCATTTTGAGAAATCAACTTACTAAATGATATCAATGATTGTTTTCTGAATTTTGATATCTTTTTAATTTTATTGCTTTATAATTCTAGGGCGGCGAAACGCTCCAAAAGTAAGTCAGGTAAAATGTTTGCATGTATCACACTACCAAGGATCTTAATTCATTAGTTAAATTAGTTATCTAAAAATACTTTTTCTACCTAACTTCAGTATATTTTGTATTTCTCGGAAGCCATTTCTGCTGGGACTGTCATTCTAAAAATGTATATGTCAGTTTTGAGTTTATTTCATGATTCGAAATTTATTTTTGGGAAATGGGTACCACTTTATCGCATAGAAGGCTGGTTAGAAACTTTAACTGATGTGGCTGAAATCAACGTTCCAGTTGTGTCGCTTCATCAATTTTAGCTATTTCTGTTAAATTTGGGTTGTCTTTTTGCACTCTTACTTTCTTGTTTCAGTTACTGTTAACTTTTAAAAGGTTGTGGTACCTAGTAATTGGATACTTTTGAAAATTATTAGTATTGAAGAGTAGAAAGCTCTATGTGACAAACTACCTGTTGGTACATAGGATCAGGTAGAGTGGCTTAACAATGAAAACACTTGAATTTCAACCATTGGATAAAGAATTTAAAGCCATTTGGTGTTGTAGGGTCTAAAAAGCCTCCTTTCAATGTTTTACACCGAGGTCTAATGGATTAGTTTGTTTGTGGTCATTTATTTTGATTTCAGTATTTATGCTTTTTTCTGTTTTAATTTTATCTCAAGGGAAATCTTTCACTATTGTGCGAGAATGATATTTCATTATTTGATACTTACATATGAGCCAAATATGCTCATTATCCTTGGGATGAGTATGTTGGCTTCTGTTATGCTCCTCCGTTTATCAGTTATTCAATGTTTTATAGACAGTAAAGTGTTGAGTATTTTTCTCAGGTTTACTAGTACTCTATTGACTTTAATGGATTTCAGTACAAAAACTAGTGTATATTGTTGTAACAATAAACACGTTGACATTCAGCTTTTTGTATGCAGAAATGTTTTGTTGGATTAGTGATCAGGATTTGTATAACTGTATTGTATGGTATAAATATATCAATTGTGTGGTGTAACTCTTTGTATATGAATGGAAGCAGTATATAAGATATTCATTTTTACGTTTTAAAATTCAGTTAATCATTTATGATCAGCGCCGGATCTAATGCAAAAGTACATTAGCCCAAATTTCTGTACCAAATGGCGAGATGAAATTAACGGGATAATTAGCATTGAGGTCGACACAATCCTAGTGTTGGTCAGTCATAAGCAACGTGGAACCTGCTACATTTGTGGATCGGTCGAAATCAGTCATAAAGGGAAAGACTAAACTTGAAGAACATAGTCTAGACAAAGGTATAAAACGGGAATAATAAATATGAAATAATACTAAGACTTAAGATACAGGAGAAGATCAAGAATAAATGCGTTTGTGGCATTGTGACTGATTTTGTATCATGTCATAGGGATTATACTGGAATTTCAGTTTCATCGTGGGTGATAAATATCAGTATGACGAACAGTTTACTTAACTAAATATTTTAGCAAATCATAAGCATTTTAGTCTTATATGCTTAATATGGTTATTTTTAAACATATTTCATGAGTCATTAATCTTTTTAACGGCATTATCTGTTTTATTTAGCCTGTACAACAACCCCTTCTTCTAACCTTGCGACCTTTTCATCCACCTGGAAACTTATTACTTCCTGCATTTGATCTAATGTCTAAGTTTGGTAAGTTAACTGATTTATTTGTGAACGTATTTCTTACTTTGTGTAGCTGTTTTTCCCCTTAAATAAATATTCCAATTAAACTTACTATCTATAGACGATTCAAAAGATTCCATTAATTACAAACCAACTTCGCACAATAGTGTGTTTTGGTTTGGCATGTGTTGAGTGAAGATTCTATGAGTCTTTTTCCTTTTATTCTGAAAAACATTGTTAACCTTAGTCAAGGTTTTTTTAAGTACCTGTGCCAAGTGAGAGAAGTAAAGCTGAATTCCGATTTTCTCAGCTTTTGTGTTATGCATATCTGTCTTCAAAGTTGAGTTTTGTCATCTTAATTACCGGTTGCTAATTGGTGGAACTAAATTGATGCAAAATATATAGTTGCATCAAAATGAACACTATTTGATATTTGCATTGTATCTGAATGATAAATGATTTTCGATTCATTAGCTTATGGAAGTTTAAAAGGCCAAAAAGTAAGTGTGTATGTACTTGACTGCAATCGCTGAATATATCGCTTGATAAATTATGAATCTTTGTTAAACTATAGTGCAAAACTTGAAAGTAAATCCTGACTCAGTGGTCTAAAAGTGACGCGCTCGCCCTAAGACGTAGTCGGTCTGGGTTCGGCTGTTGGTATGATCATAAATCCTCACTGATGACAAATCTTAAACTAGGGGGAATAAACTACAGTTCTCCCTGTTTTTCCGTAGCCCATTACAAAAAAACACGTACTTAATTTAATTTCCACAACCAAGCAAATAAACATCAATTATGACGTTCACTACTGCGAACTGAATATGTCGTCCGATGGGACTTGTGGTAAAGCATTATAAGAATCAGGAATTGTATCGTCGATTTTCATTATTAAGTTTGTAAAGTGAGTTAACATATCAAAGTGTATCTTGTTTAAGCATATTGTAGGATTAGTTAGTTTATAGATGCTTATGACTTCAGGTAATATTGAGGCAATTCGCACAGGATGCACGTATGCCAATAAGGGACTGATCAATTGCAGTCCTAAAAATCAATAGGAAGATTTAAATAACTAATACGACATAAAATGCTACATGATTAATTCCCTATTACATTTAATAGCTTATCTACTTAACTAATTTTTAGCTCATATAAATCTTTTTACATGGCTTATTTATGGACTCCTATATTTTATAGAAAAAAGAGTAAACTCAACAGAAATTGTCAAAGTGTGCTTATTTAAACATTTGACTAGTTTTCATGGCTAAAGCATATGAAGTTTCTAGGACTAATAAAAGGTGGAATGTCGGTTTGATCGTTTTTTTCCTATTTAAGAATGTTAAATTTCTGTACCTATAACGGACCTTTGCTATAAATATTAGGAGGTGGTTTATGGAAATATCAACCAAAATTATGAGTGTTGCATTTCTCAAGTGAATTCAATTTGTAGTATTTCATTATATATAATTTTGCTCAAACAAAAATACTATATTTGTTTCAGTCACAAACTAATATGTGCTAGAAAACACTTTACAAACATACTAGATTGGAAAGTGTAAACTCCAATCTTGCGCATAGTCGGATGTGTAAAATTTCGTACTAGGGTGATTTCTTAATTTTCAGTAGTTCTCTACAAAATATCATCCCTTAACGAAAGTTATACCCAAATTAGTCCATTTTCGCATAAGCTACTTCATCAAATACATGTGAAAAATTTAAAATTTGCTTTTGTAATATATATTGTTACAAATATCCTTACCACAATATTGTTGTTTTTCATATTATAACATAGATGGTTTAGTTTCATTTGAAAATGACAAATTAGTAACAAATAATACTTCGAGTAGTTTATCAACTATCAATGAAGAAAATATTGAAGAGACATCAACAACACTTAATGCTTCTGTATCAACTACCGGTCGGATGAAAAGTAGTGCAGGAATAAATGATATCGACTTTGAGGTTAGTCTTCACTAGTCATCCATTTTTTTCTCTTGGATCAAGATTTAAAATATTAGTCATGCTATTTATATTATTATGTTGTAACTTCTTATGAAATTCAGACAGGTTGATTGTGAATATTTGAAAGACAGACATTATTATTGTCTTCGTCATTTGCTTACTTCAGTTCAATCAATTCTTGTTTTTTTATTTGACTAAAAATACTATCGACTAGGTTAACATCTGTAGTTCTGATAGGATTTGCTTATATTTATCAAGAAATGAGTTTGGAATTGAAGCGTTTCTTTGAATTAATATGTAGTTGTTAGACAACTGTCCAGAAAGTTATTGGTGTTTAATTCCTGGGGCGTTTCGTCACCGTGAAATTATTTTATTTACCCATTTAATACAAAATTTGATACAACTGAACATCATAAAATCTTGGACTGTAAATCTTTTTTTGTATTACACCTGTCCTTGAATTAACTGAAGATCCCCAATCAACTAATCAGAATTTTATTTTCTTCTATTAGTTATTAGTTTCATCGTGAATGTTTGAAGCTGGAATATGAAATTCCCTCTTTTTAAACTAATGTACTGCTTCGTATTAGTTGTACTAACATTTATCATACTATCAAATATGTCTCTATATATATCGCAAGTCGAATGATATTGATCGCATAAAACAATAGCTAATTCAAAACTGGTGCACTAGTTTTTAAACTTGAGAGTTTTTTTAAATAAAACTAATAGTACGACTTGGTGCTGAGCACTTCGGGAACAAAACTAAAAACTTTTGTATTGCTCGCTAATTTTTTAATCATAGGTTGAAAAAAAACAAATGATAGAAAATGTAATGCAACTGATTAACAAAGCTTGAGTTTTAGCATCAACCGCAGATTTTTTTCGCCGCCAAAAATACTATTTAGTTGCATGAAACTTAGTTATGTTAAAGAAGATTTGAATTGTAACCCAATGAGTAAAACTGAAGTGGTCACCTGAGAGAATCGCGAATATAAAATTGAAACAAGTTAACAAACTATATCAAATAGATCATTAGTGTTCTTGATAGATTTACAATAACTATGTATTATAATTTATTATTAAAATTTTATTTTCCTTGAAAAAGCTTGGACCAGATTGCCAGGCGAAACGTTGGATTTACTTGAAATTCATTCGCTGAGATTTTACAAATATATTCTTCTTTTTAACTATGTATTATGTTTTATATTTTGGTCATGTGTATAATTTACTGAATAATTCTAACTTATATATATCCACTATATCAAGGAATTTAAGCATTACAGACGTCTCAATGGGTATTCACTTTTCGTACATGTCAATAAGAAAAAATATGGATCATTTCCAGGCTCGACACTCGTTGATGATACAAATGATGCCAATGATAACATGCAAACTGGCCTTGGTATCTCTAGTTCAGGAAAAGAAAGCCAGAAATCCAATCGTAGATGGCAGGTTTGTAACCTCTGCTAAGATAGATATCATTTATATTTTATCTTTCTGTTTTATTGTTTTAATCAATTTAAAAGATGGTGCTTATTCATGTTCTCACTACATTCTTTATATTAAAGTCAAGGTGTCGGCGGAGTTTTTATTTCTCTACTATGTATGATTGTAAAAGCTGTAGTGGCGAGTGGATTTTGGCACACTGAAGTTCTTTTTCAGAAAAACATCTGGTTCGTAAGGCTTCCCACCTCTTTCTTAAGATGTCTCTGTCACAGCTGATCACACATCCTTCAACATTTTTGTTTATCGACAACAATCGTTTCGCTTGATATTTTTAACGTTTAAATATACACAAGGTTTTTGCTTTAAATATTTGTAAGAACTTCAGCACTGTTTGTGGTTGTTTCGCTCTATTTGCGGGTACTTATAATGATTAATATCAATAATTTCAATTTTCCAATGATCTATTTCTTAGTCACACTTATTTGAAAACAACGGCACAGAACTTCACGAAGCCTTTGCTAAGGGTAAAGAAAGATCCGTCAAATGAATTTTTCTTACTATATCAAATTTCATCGAACATCTGGTCAAAAAGATCAAATCATCACTGTAATGTAAACAAGAACGGAGTAAACTCCCTTGAAATGTTAAGGGAATAGGATGTTTTTATTGAAACAGTGTGGTTAAATCGTATACATAACCAATCTTGCACATGAAGTCAGCAAAAATGCCCGTAAAAACTTAGAATTCTCATCAGTCTCTAAAGCACCTAGTTGAGTTAAGACTTAGTAAGTAATAATTCCCTGAATTAGGGAAGTTTGTGTTTGAAAACCAGCAAACATTTAGTTTTCAATAAAATGTCTTATAGTTTTCCAATTTTCTTGACCGTTTTTTCCAAATTAATAAATGCGAACCGAGAAATTAAGATTTATTTAGCTGAAAACTAGGAGTGTCAAATATAAAATTACTTACTTAGGCCTGTTACTCCCATCGGAGGGTAGGCTACCTACCAGCGTTCTCCAACTCATTCTGTCCTGGGTCTTCCTTTCGAGTTCTATTCAATTGTTGTTCATTGTTTTCATTTCTATCCCCATTTCTCGGCGTAATGTGTTCATTGACCTTCCATTTCTCCTTTGACCTTGAGGGTTCCAGGTGAGGGCTTGCCCTGAGACGCAGTTGGGTGCTTTCCTTAATGTGTGTCCCATCTATTTCTAGCGCATCTTCCTAATTTGTTCCTCCTCTGGAATCTGGTTTGTTCTCTCCAACAGTAGGTTGTCGCTGATAATGTCTGGCCAGCGGATCCGAAGTATTTTGCGTAAACAGCTGTTTACAAACACTTGTATCTTCTGGATGATGGCTTCCGTGGTTTTCCAAGTTCCCGCCCCATACAGTAAAACTGTCTTGACATTTGTAGTGCAAATTCTGACTTTGGTGTTCGTTGAGAGTTGTCTTGAGTTCCAGATGTTCTTCAGTTGTAGATATGCTTTATTTATTTATTTTAACACATAGATATTGGTACAAGGAGGCGACACTTTACTAATTAGAGGCAGTGATATTCCAACAAATCTTTTAAACAGGGTGACTGATTACTAAAACTAATGTGTTGACAGATTTTGACTCGTGCATAAGCATTATAAATTGTTCGCAATGTTCTACATGTTACTGTGTAGCATAGTTATTTTTATTTACTTTAACACATAGTCATCAAATACATATGCGCCACACAAATCTCGTTTGATAGGTGTGAGGGCTGTGATACTGCTAGGGTGTCCAAACCAAAGCAGGTGGTTTTCTTAGGGGGCCACACCCGGAGCCTTCGACCTGGAGGTCTGATCCACAAGGCAGTGGAGCATCGTAAGGAGATGCGGTTCCATGGAAGCCGGTGACCAACAATTGGTCCATACGCCATTTGTTCCCTCAGGATACTGGAGCCAGCCCATGTGCACCATTGGTTTGGAGTCCGGTTAAAGCGCCGGACATTCGCTTTTCATCCTCTCATTTTCGTAAACAACACCCCCGCCACGAGAAGGCAGTGAGTAGGACTTCCCTGGTAGAGGCTATATACGCGTGACCATGTGAGAGCATTTCGAGAGGGAGAGCGGACTCTTCCCACTATCGTCCGTACCAGGGCATTTGGGGGCGGCTCTTGCTTTTTCGATCCCCGCCTTCACATATGCATCAGATCCATCGTATTCATCAATGATCCTGCGCAGATATGTAAAGCTTTTCACATCTTCCAAAGGTTTTCCGCCAAGTGTGATTAGACTGATGCATGTTGTGTTGTATCGGAGAATATTGCTTTTCCCTTTGTGTATATTGAAACCTACTGCTGCTGAGGCTGCTGATACACTGGTCGTCTTCTGCGTTTGTTGTTGGGTGTGCGATAAAAAAGCCAAGACATCCACTAAGTCTTGGTCGTCCAGCTTTATCCTAGCTGTCCACTGCATCTCATGCTTCCCCTAAGAGGTTGACGTCCTCATGATCCAGTCGATCACCAGGAGGAAGAGGAAGGGCGAGAGTAAGCAACCTTGGCTGATACCGGTCTTTACTTAGAACGAGTCTGTCAGCAGTCATCCACGCACGATTTTGCAGTTTAATCCATCATAGGAATTCCGTATGATGTTGACTGTCTTTTCAGGCAAGCCGTAGTGTCGAGGAGGCCTCCATAGTGTTGTCCTGTCTACGCTATCAAATGCTTTCTCGTAGTCAATGAAGTTGATGTAGAGTGATGAATTCCATTCAATTGATTGTTCCACAATGATCCGTAGAGTTGCGATTTGGTCAGTACACTATCTATCTTTACGGAATTAAACCTGTTGGTCTCGAAGTTGGGCGTCTACAGAGTCCTTCATTCTGTTTAACAATACCTTGTTGAAGACTTTACCTGGCATTGAGAGAACAGTGATGCCCTTGTAGTTATCACACTTGCTGGGATCGCCTTTCTTTGGTATATTGATAAGATGTCCTTCTTTCCAGTCTGTTAGTACTTGTTCCTCATCCTATATCTTGCTGGATAGAATGTGGAGTATCCTTGCAGTTACTGCTACATCTGCTTTTAGTGCCTCTGTTGTCTGGTCCTGCTGCTTTGCCGCTCTTGATTTGTCTGATGGCTATGCTGATCTCTTCAATTTTTGGTGGGCCAACATCGATTGGGAGGTCCGTGGGTGCTGCTTGGATGTCGGGTGTGTTCAGTGGGGTTTGTCAGTTCAAGAGTTCCTTGAAGTGCTTTACCCACCTGTTCCGCTGTTCTTCAATGTTGGTGAATACTTTACCTTCCTTGCTTTTCACTGGTCGTTCTGGTTTACGATAATTTCCAGTGAGCTTACTTGTTGTATCATACAATTGTTTCCATCTCTTGCAGCCTTTTCCGCCGTCATTAATAGATCTTCCACATATTTACGTTTGTCAGTTCTGATGCTACTCTTCACTTGCTTGAATGCTTCCGTGTATTCGGCTTGTGCCCTGGCTTTATCGGTTCTTGTTTCGTCTGATATTGATTGTATCAACAGTGATCCATTCCTTGTGATGGTGCTTCTTGTGGTCCAGAACTTCATGACATGTTGAAGTGATCACCTCCTTGATCACTTTCCATTTGTTATCCATGGTAGTTCCCTCTCCGTTGAGTAGATCGTGAAAGGTCTGGAACCTATTGTTGTGGGCTATCTTGAATTCGTTGAGTCTGTCAGCATCCCGAAGAAAGGCCGTATTAAAATTTCGTGATATCCGACCCGTTGTCCAGTGCTTCTTGAGTTTCAGTTTCATCTTGGCGACCAGCAAGTGATGATCTAAGGCTATATCAGCTCCTCTCTTGGTTGTTGCATCTTCCATCGTCCTTCTGAACTTTTTATTGATGCAGATATAATCGATTTGGTTCTGTGTTGTGTGATCGGGTGAAGTCCATGTGGCTTTGTGAATGCGTTTATGCGGGAATTTAGTGCCTCCTATGACCAGTTTGTTGAAGGCACATATTTTTGCATATCTCACCACTTTCGTTCCTTTCTCCCAGTCCATATCGTCCCATGATATCTTATCTGGTATTGTCCATTCCAACTGGCGTTTAGGTCTCCTATCCGAATGGTCACGTTCTTTCTTGAGCATTTCTCAACGATTGAATGCAGCTTATCGTAGAATTGATGCTTAATATCTTCACTGTAATCGTTGGTAGGCGCATAGCATTGGATGACGTTCATTGTAATGCCCTCTTTCTTTGTTTTGAAGGAGGCTTTGGTGGTCCTGGGTCTATGAGACTCCCATCCTATAAGCGCATTTTGTGCTTGTTTGGATAGCGTCAGTGCAACTCATTGTGCATGTGGGGCATTTTCTTTATGGTCGTAATGTAACAGCAGCTCCCCTAAAGCTAATATTTGTTGTCCGACCTGCCTTCAATGTGTTTCACTGATTCCCAGTACCTCCAGGTTGTATCTTTTCATTTCTGCAGCAGCTTGGATGACTCTCCAAGTCTCCCACATTCTAAGAACATTCCATTTACCTAAATCAATGGTTGTTCTGATTGTCAGTAGGGGCCTCAGCTTCGTGACTTCCGAAGAAACTTTTCTAAATGAAGACCCTCTAACTTCCAGGGCAGAGTTTAAATGGTTCGAATTTTTTTTTTGATTAGCGTTTTTTCAGCGAGTTAGTTTTCTACGGGATGGGGTCGTCAACCCCATGCCCAACCTTCCTTCTTTATCCGAGCTTGGGACCGGCAGTAGCCTCAAAGGGGCTCCAGGCGAAGTTAATTATAAAATTGATTACTGGAAAACATGAGTAACTGTGAAACACTCATATCCTAGTATATACAGTTTTGTAGTTGACTCAGCTTATTGCAAATGTCATAATTATGCGTTTTGATCGTTGTACAGTATTTGGATTTCAATAAACCTAATGTAACCGTTTCGATTTTTCCATTTATTATTAAGAGGAATAGACTTATATGAAAGCAAGAAAATATAGAAACTTCTATCTTGCAGACATAATTAAAGGAGTTAGCAAGTACGAATTGTATAGTATTTAATTGCGATGTGATGAGATTTTTGATGAGTTGCTATAGAATGCTTATTTTTAACAGGGATTTGAGTAACTGACAGCAAAATAATATAGAACTATGTAGAAAGTTTAATTTGGCACGTAAATCTACTTACCTAGGTGCTTGAAATGCTTCTTATGTGTATAAGGATAGTAGGTACTAGCCATCTATGGTACACAAGTGAATTTTCATTTATTGATCAGTTAACTATCCTCACCTACGCCTGTAGTTAGCCAACGAAACCTGGCATGTCGTGTGTGGTTTTAATCAACACGGAATACAGAGTGCTGCCTAGCTCGCTGTTTGCAGATATATTGTTGAGTTTGGTGTAGTGCAACACGATAAATTGATTTTTGATTAGTTAATTCAAATGTACTTATCTGTTCGTTTTTATACAACTTAGCTTTTTTGTTTATTTAAGGCTTTGTGGTTAACAGTTCCAGAAAAAGTTAAACGCGAATGGAAAAACAAGGCAAAGCGTCTTTTAAAACAAATTGAACAGCATGGAAAACGGGAAGTTCTATCCGAAGATAGAAAATTAAGAGAACGTGATCGTTTGGAAGTTCAACTCAGTCGCACACAAACAACATTTTATAGTTTGCTTGATCTGGCCGCTCATTTTCAGCTTTTAAGTGATCGATTTGCAACATTTTCTAAAAATGTTAATGATTATGAGGTAATTGGAAGTCTCATCTATGATAGTTCTTTATGACCAGAAAATTAGTTGCACAAATCAGCTATGATTAGAGAAATTGTTTGCTTAAACGTTTACTGTTCATAACATTATCTGTGAGTTTTTGCAACACATATCTAGCTCATTACCCGTTCTGTTGGATAATTAAATATCAGTCTGGTATGTTTTACAAAAGCTTGAGGCGATATATCCTACTGTCAGATATTTTAAGTCATTTTATGTTATGCTTAAATAACAGTTCGGAATATTGAGCTACTGTATTTTTACTTTGAAGACACTTTCTCACTAAAAGTTAGTTTTCATTACATAGCCATTTAGCAAGTAAGCTGTAACAAAAATTCAATTCACTCTTCTATCTACAGCATCATGTGACCATTGTAGCTATCTTAAGCGGAAATAGTAAATCTCGCTCCTGTAATCTACTGCATAATCGTGAATTTTACTGCAGATATGATCCAAACGGTGAGTGTATTGCGAAAAACAGTGAGACTATGATTTATGGACGACCTTTGAGCGACGCTAAAGTGACCTTGAGAGTGTCTACTTACTTACTAGAACTAAATCAGGGTTATAAAGTAGTTTTAAGAATAAGGATTATGATTTACAGTTGATGGTTAGTGTTAGAAGTTAGATTTAGGGTTTTCATCACGAACTGACATCAGCTATAATACCAAGACTATTTAGCCAAATAGGTGAATGACTTTCGCGTCAAAATTTCATACGTTATCGTAAATCTGATTGGCTCGTCCATAAATTATAGTATCGCCCTGAAAAACCATTTGAAATCTCCCAGATTGATGTATTATACTCAAGGTTATCTGCAGTCTAAGTTTATTAAAGTAGAATCTTGTTTTTGGTATTGCATGCTATTTCATTAAGTAAAAGGTTGATTGAAGATTTTTTATATATATATATATATATATATATATATATATATATATATACTTAGTTTACTTGTTTTCTTGTTTGTTTTACAGGGACCAATTGACCCTGTAGGTGTAGAGTCGTTACTACTCGATGGCTTATTAACATGTTTAATCCCATTGATTGCGCTAACAAATGAATTGGAGCCATTCACAGAAGTTCCTGATCGTAAAACTATATGTGACGCTTTAACCAATTTAACTTTTATCGCTCCATTTTAAAATACGAAAATTAAATACATTCATATAAAGTTTTGTAAATATATCCATGTTATCCCATTTTAAGTGTAAAATAACTGTGTAAATAAACCTTTTATCACTATCAAGGTTTTTTGACCATTTTGTTTCTTTATAGTTTGTGTTTTTAGGGTTTTTTACTTGTCAATAAAGTAGATCTCTAATGTTCACCTTTTTTATCGGTCATTATTTGAAGAAAACTTGATTTGCTAGCTAATTTTCTTTTTCTTGTTGGATTTAATGAAGACTGGGATATTGTTTGAAAACCCTGAATCTCTAACTCAAATAATTAATCTTGAGTTTTCATGTTAGTTCGTCACCGAAATAGATGTATTTCAGTCATTCTTTTGTAATTATTGACCATATTTACAGCATTAGTTTAGTGAAAGTTGTTGGGGACGACATATCCCCAAAACTCATATTTTGTAATTTTGTCATATCGATTAAATGTTTAAATATTTGAATGGCAGTCAGTTGATGAACTTATCGTTTAAATTTTTAAATAGCAGACAATTGATGACTCATTAATTATTGTTTAAAAATTTCCTATGACAAAATCGATATATATTTGTATAAATACGCTTGACTTGTATGCTTGATCTGATCTGCCTGCCTGACTTGGTATCTGCTGTTGCTTGTAGAATACACTTTCTACGCCTTACCAAGACTTCTTGATCGAGTTAGCTGAGTCGAAGTCAACGGACCAGAATAGTCTATTGAGTTTCTGAATCCTGAGCTTTCGTTCCGTTTCCGAATAAGTCGAATCAGTAGTATCCTCAAGGTTAACCGAACCTAACAATTTGGCGACGGGGATGGGATTCGAACCCACGCGGGGAAACTGACTGAATCCTACTTACACATTTGTGATCATTTGCGATACAACTAAGTTCCTTAATGCTATTTACGTCGTGTCAGTTTCAAATTTGCGACTTAAAGGTTGGAAGCCTTGCGGCACTGATGTAGAAATGAGTGGTAAATAGAAATTGAAAATTTTATGGATTTCAATCTGTTGTTTGGAATGTGCACAACAGAACTCTTCATCCGTATTCTTGATATTTGTATGACAATATTTGCCTGACGGTTCTCGATGTATGTTGCTTTTCTTGTATGAGGAAATGTTTCTCAAGCACTTGTACAGATCTTTAAGCCTATTGTGTTTAGTTTATTATGAATTCAATTGTAGCTTATTAGATTACCTGGTGGAGTTTTGATTTTGTGCTATTTGTGAAGCGGAAGTTAGCCGAACATAGATGGTCAAATAATCAATAACTAACTCAACTTAGTAAATACTTGGTCGCATACTTGACTTTGAGCTAAAACGTTTTATTTGTTTGTTACAGATAATTTCTAGCTCCTCAAAATACAATCTGTGAGGTTTTGGTTTGAATTTACAAAAATAATTGCCAGAATCTCAGTATTCTGACCAGTTATTTGGTTAAACCGACATAAGCTTTTGTCAGTATTAGCTTTCTAACCTAACTAAACGTTGAACTTTATGAAATCCATGTACTCGATCAGTCATCTCTAAGTATTTTATACTTGTAACAAACCAAAGCTTCCAAATAAATTCCCGCTACTGTTTTAATGTTTTTTGAAGTTTGTTCATTTTACTTTTATTCGAAATCCTTATAAAAAGGACTCCTTATTTTCGGGGGTGTTGATTTTCTTCATTTTACTTAGATAAAATCAAAGAACTTACTCCATTCTCTTTTCACACAAGTTGACTTTGTCTAGTACAGTGTGGCAACTTGCAGGTAGATTGTTCAAATCTATGTAAATGTTCATTGTAAAGAAAACATTTGTACACCAATTCACTGTTTTCAAATAAAGAAATTCGTTTTGATAACTTGACTATTGCATACATTTGTTGATGGCAATAACGCTGACACCATTGCATTGGTTTATTCATGATCTCATTTCATTCGTACTCAAATATTTTGCATGATCACTTGGATCATTTTGAATGAAATCATGTATGCCTGGATGTTTGCGTAATAGTATTTTCAACCTACTGATAGTATAAAAAGTGTTACCATAATAACTTAAGCTACTGTCATATAATTATAGTTATTAGTATTAATACCTATTGTGCATAAACTTATTGATCTCTTATCCTACTAGTATTGTGTATTTCTTAGTTTAAATAGTGTTGCAATATTGAAATATAAATGTGAGATATGTTGGGGCACTTTCTGTGAATAGACATAGGGTTATGGTTGTCATATCTTTTCTTATTGAGATATTAGTTGGAATGTGTAATTTTACATCCGAATTTCTCTCATTACTGGTTAGTCAGGTGATAGTACTGTAAAACTCATCAAAAAATATAACCTAATGACCAGTTTCATTTATGTACTACCCTGATGGCCATCTTAGTGTTCATAGTCCAGGTTAGTTTTCACCTTTAACTCAATGTTAGATGGCTTATTGTAATGATGGTATAAAAATAGTGTTTCGACAGACAACTACTTTTCGCATTTCAGGTCTTAATTTTGTTCACATCCACATCGATATTAGAATAAAAGTGGAGTAATATCCTTATCGTTTTTACGCTAGTCATAATAAGACATAAACTGTATAGCATTAGTAATACGAATTATAAATATTTCAACATACGAATTATGTCAAAACTTTAGAAAAAGCATTAGAATTATAATCATATTAGAATAAAGCCTTATAAAAGTTTAATTTTCAGTATTTTACTCTAATGTCAGTATAATCTCTGTCTTCATTTTGAACAAATCTTATTAAATACTTAGATTCTCGTAAATAGTGATCAAATTAAGAAGTCTATTTTTTTAGTTAAATAGTGCTGTATATATATGCTAGAAAAGTTATTTTTGATTCAAATTCCAAGCAAACAAGTGGTGTTTCGTTTGTAGTAGTAGTGGTAGTGTCTGTGTTTTTCTGTACCTAACAAATTTTGTATTGAGTACAGCTTATCAATATTTGTTTTCAATTTCTGAGTCTATCGATTCATAATGAGGACATTTATCCCGAGTACATTAAGTTCAGTAGGTGTTCTGTTTCTTTTCCTCCACGAAATTAACCATTTTGTTTGTTATTTGTTTTAATTATGCTATATATAAGATTAGAGCAATTAAAATAGAATTATTTCCAAGCATCCTTGTTGGAATGAATGTTATTTTGACTGATAAGTAAGATTACATTGAAGCTCTCAAATGTTCCATTTAAGAGAAAAACTTTGTTTTCTATTTAGTATTTTAAATTTGTTTTTAGGCAGTTAATACAAATTCTGATAACTTTAATTCAATCAAATTGAAGTATGATGGATTAGTGGATGAAAAGAATAGAATCGAAAAAAAATTATCGGAATTAAGTGAAATACTTCGTCAGGTAAATTTTAGTTTAATTGAAACATTTTCATATTTATTAAATTTCATAGTTAATCCGTACGGAATGGATATTTAACAAACCATGTATTTTAATTGAATAGTCATTGGATAGGCATCTTTTTTAAAAAAAAGAAATACTTACCTTATATTTCTACTTTGAATCACATATGCGAAGCTAATGAAGACAGATATTCTCTGATGTTACAGTTTTGAAAGTTAAGGAATGTGAATAGCGTATGTTAGTCATCTTTCTATTATAGCTTAGGTGAATCAAACTAGAAGTGTTTAGAAACGAATGAAATTCGGCTGGATGAAGATATAATGCAAAACAAGTAGTTCCTTTTGCTTGTTTCAAACTAAACTTCGTCTATGATGTTTTATTTTATATCCAAATATCTTTAACCCTCTAATTTTCTTAGGTTTCTAGATAATTCTTCTCTCTCAAATATTTTTTTGTCACTACAACTCACATTTACCTTTATGTTAACATGATGAAAATGATTTAACATTTTAAGCAGCAGCAACTATTATATCGAGTAATCTTTTCATTATTGCTCTTGACATCAAATTTATAGCCTGTAACTTTCAGTGTAGAATTAATGTTTTGATTTGTTTACACGAATAACTCTAGTATATGATGAAGTTATTGGAAATGCCAACAATTTTTGGTCCCACACAGAATTCATACTTTTCCAACTCATCAATCAGAACAGTAGGAAGGCCAGCCAGGTACATTGTTGTTAAGGTTTTGTTCTCTTAAAAAAAAAACTTATATAGGACTAAATCAATATCTACTTAAGGTGAATTTACGGTGTGTAAGGTCAGTGGTCTTGAGTGCTGTTAGAGGTCAAGACCACTGACGCTACATTATTTTATTAACTTCCAATGCATTTTTGATATGATTTGTGTTGAGTGACAACTACTCAGTTCATAAATTATAATCATTGTATTTCATATATATCCGATTAGATTATGTGTTTTTAACTTTACTGGATTCATTATCAATAAAGCTTCTTTTAAGAAACTAGACCTCTTACTCTAGTTGCGCTTCAGATACGAAGAGAATAGCGGCAGTCTCGTTCACTATATTGAAGTTGTAGTCGCAAACTGAAGCTTAATGCACGAAAATGTCACTTAAGGTGTCTGTATTCTTTGTAAATATAATATTCAAAAACGCATAATTATATAAGTTGAAGGGTTACATGCAGGATAGTTAATAAATCCCAGTCGATACATAACCAGGATATAACTCTGAGTAACAGTTTCATAGTTAATTCACTGAACGTACTCTTCTAAAAACAACTTACCAAGTTCAGTAATACTCTTTTCGTTCTTTCACTTTACAATCAGGTCAGCTTTTATAACGATTTACAATTGGAATGGTAAACGTGGTAGCTAACAAAAAATAGACTGGAATTGTAGATATTAAAATTATTTGTACCCAGTCAGAACTACTTATCTGCGATTGTTAATTTGACGCATGTTGAATAAAAGATAGTCATCAGCTACATTTTTTACTGTTAATTTTTACTTACCCATTATAACTGTTTCTAAATAGAATGGCGATGTTGGTATGGATACCCCATTAGTTGATGATGAAGGCTACCCACGCTCTGATATTGATGTGGCTCTTATACGAATAACGCGAAACAATATCCATTGTAAGTTTGTAGGCTTTCTTTAGTTTGGTACCGTATATGTCGTTTCAAGAAGACTTTTATTATTCT